AAGATGGTCAGAATTTTTATATTTTTATATTTATAAATGTATACGTGACACGTTTAATTATATATCATCATTGTAATGAATAATTTTAAAACGTTCAAGATTCTGATAAGCTTGAAATCTCGTGTCACTTTAATGTGTTCTATCATATGTGATAAGAAGAATCTCAGCCATTTAGTCAACAAATTAAACTTACAGATAAAACAATTTGATCCGAAATTATTTTATCAAAATTCTGGAATAATTCTATATTAATTCTATATTATATATTATATTAATATTATATATTAATTATATTATCTTCTGTCAACATCAACATTTCAGAAGGAATTGAAAACGATTCCAAAGCAACTTGCACAAAATTGTGACATTCGTTCATCGTTCGAAAAAGAAGTGTTAATATCAATTTTAATGAAATATTTATTAAGTGAAAACTAGTTTCTATAACTATTAAGGAAATATTCCACGTTTTTAATTTATTAATCCATGAAAGTAGAAAAAGAAAACACAAGCACACATGGATAAAAACATTGGAAGCAAAATGCGCATTATCTCATTCCTCCGCATTTAATTATTCTTAATATTCAATTTCAAATTTTTATAATATATTTTTATAATTATAAATTTATAATATTTATAAAATTTGCATAAACCACTTACGCATAAAAAAAAGAAAAAAAAAGAAATCATTAATTTCATTTCTCGCGAAACAAGTGCGAATTACGCACTTAAAATTCACGAGGGGGGGGAGAGGACGGAAACAACTTCTCGAAGTTAGAATTCTGATATTCCGTGGTGCGCGAACGGGCAGATTTATTCAGTGGAAAAGTTGGAGGATGTCGATTGATTGCAGGCAAGCGCCGAATTTCATAGGTTTTTCCCGAAACTTTCGGCTTCGTTCTTCGCTTCGTGAATGCGCGCGACATCTTCGAGACTTTATTCAAAGGCCTGTCGATATATTTCACGCGGATATTTTCGCCGTGGAGAGATGAAACATGGCCGATAGATACTCCCCTCTTTTCTCCCCTCGAGATGAAGGGTGTGTGTAGAAATATATTTGCACGTTGTCTTTCGAGAGATTTCCACCCTCTTTTCGAAATCTGCTTCCTCGTGTTTTCTTTTTTCTCCCTTCGAAGCTATTAGGAAATTGAAAGATGGGGGAAATGTAGAAATATTTGCAGGGAAATCGTTTTGTTGCAGTAGGGTTGTGGACTCTTGGAGGGGTGATTTTGTGAAAATGAAAAATAATGTTTTTATTTGGAAAATGTTTGTTTGAGATATTAATAATAATAATTAAAAACTAGTAATAACAATTAATATTAATCGTGTTATAAGAATTTGTTTCTACAATATTCGATAAAAAGAGATGGTAATTTTTGTAAATAAAATTATACTTGTAACACGTTTCATTGATACTCGTCTTCGATTTTTCGAAATTAGATTATTCACAACGAAATAGAAGTAAATAATAAAAAGTTAAAATATAATTGTCAACAGTATTTCTCGTTTCTCGTAAAAATTTTCACGACAAAGTTTTCCCTCCCTGACAATTTACCTTTCACACAAAAATCGACGACAAAAAGCTTTCATCTAGTACAAGAATCC